GGACATGTATCTCTGGTCACCTGTTGCATCTCGAGTAGATGATTAGTCAATTGGGTCATAATGCCCAATTTGTGGCCCAAACTCTCTCCCTATTCATGTGAAGCGTCAGGCCTCCAAAGTTGTAGTTATTTATTCGAGTTGACTACACTCACTAAAAACGTATTCGCTTGAGTTCCGAAACTCCCTCAACCTCTTTTCCTTTGGTTTACGAAAGATCCTTGATCCAGGTGTCTCCTTTTTGCTTGTCTTGTTGCATCTCTCTTTTCTCCTAGTTTGATTAGGCAATAGGCAAAGACATCACTAACTCTGTCTTCTTCCAATCTCCTGTTCATTCAATTTTTTCCCCAAGCATGTCACTGGCCTCCAAATTCTTCAGTTTCTTTCACCGTATGAGGCCCTTCCTTCTTTTGCCTTCCAATTGATCTCGTGTCCAGTCTCAGCGATGTGTGCTGCTATATCTGATCTTTCAGTATTCTTTTGATCTTCCTTGATTCGTATGCTGATCTTTCTCCCAGTTTCGCCAATAGATTTCTATTCGCAGGCGCCGCATGCTATGCGGTAAACTCGAGACCACTCAAAATTGTCTGCCCTCTCATGTTGCGTGGGTAGACTTGTGAAGAGTTTTGGTTTTCCTTCGTGGTCACCTGAATATTCCATTTTCTTAATATTGGGCGTGGTTTAGGGGATAATTCGCAGGAAGGGAGACATCCAATTTTTTGAGTCTCTCTCCATCTTTATTTTTTTTCATAATCTTTTTCCTCCAATCTTCATGGCTAGTATGTTTTTTGTATTCTCTCGTGTATCCGTTTCCGAGGCATATCCAAGTCAATTTTTCCTTTTCTTCATCTCAGAATTCCACGTCTGTTAATCATAGTCTTCTTATGATCATATTTCTCAGTATGCCTATCTTCATTTTATATTTGTGCTGAGACTAGAAATTGAGTATTATTCCGGCATATGACTTCTTTCGAAACAATTAGAGCGAATGACCTCCATATCTAGGAAGACCAAACGCCCGTCTTCCTCTGTATCCATTGTGAACTTGATTCTTTCATCAATCCGGTTCATCAACTTCAGGAAATCCTCAAATCCTTATCTTTCATGCTAGCATATTGCAAATTAGTCATCCAGGTACCGCATAAGAACTCTTTGTTTCAGCGGTGACACCTTGAAATTATCTTCTTATTTGTCCATATATACATTTGCCAATAGAGATGAGATGGGTGATCCCATAGGAAGTCCAAATGTCTGGTCGTAGATGTTGCCATTCAATGTGAACTAGGTAGTACTTATTGTCAAGTTGATTAGTCATGCCAACGACTCTCTTCTGATACTCTCTGCTTATAGCATGCTCCCTTCTCAATCCAAAATTTCTACAAGGGCCGTTTGCACCTTGGCTCCAGAAATGTTTGTGTACATAGATTGTACAGCAAAAGTTAACGGTAATTCTGTTTATTCCAGTGTCATGTTTTTGATTCTCTGAAAAAAATCATAAGTACTTCACTATGCTTGATAATTTGCCATTTACATTCTTAATTTTCGGACATGTGAACTTTGCTCAGTTGTGCATTGCTCTAAACATGTTTTTATCTATCAGCATTAGTGGTTCTCCTTGTTTGTGTAACTTCGATAACCTGTAGACTTTTGGTGGTCGTGCATCCCTTTTTATTAGTGAATTTGTTGCCCATCCATTGATCTTCCCATTCCTATGCATATCTTCAGCATGTCCCATTGATTTGTTTAGTTGTGCCCTCTTTTAGTACACTATACATAGCCCTGTCTTGCAGTACACATTGCATTTTCTCGGTATATTGTTTCCTGTCCATTACAACCGTCACTCCTGCTTTATCCGTCTGAAGGACCAATTGTTAATTCCTTTCTAGTGTTCTTCGTGTCCTCACAAACCTGTTCATATGCGTTAGGATTATTTCCAGCTCCATATCCCATTTTGCCTCCTCAGGGAACTTGTCGGAGATATTGATGACTGCAACCAGAATGTCCTCTAGAATATTTCTGACATTTTGAAGAGGCAATTTGGTCGTTTCTTCAGGATCAAGGTGAAGCGAGACTAAATTCACCAGCTTGTTTCGTTCGTCGTACGGATCGGTACGTGTCGTCGCCTTGGCAACTCCTTCAACTGGGCGCGCTGGCTTTAATCTACGTTGTCTTATGCTTCCGTGCCAAGGTCATTTGTTGTCCTGTTTTTTTTGCTATCAAGTCAGAGGTCCTACACGATTTCTAGTCGGTCATATTCTTTGAATGTACCAAGTCCACAGTCCGACTCTGGAAATCAACATGCATACTATGGACTCCGGACAAGGTGCGTTCCCCCACGTCTTCCTGCCAATATGATCGGGTTGCGAAAACAAGGTCAAACAACAACGAAAGGAGACCGCGGCAGTACAAAAGGCCACACTATCATGATCTTCAAACCTTCGATAGAACATCAAACAATGTTTCAGTTTCTTCTCGCATCTACACTGTTTCAGCAGTTAAGTCGTATCGAGGCTGAGCTGATCAAGTTTCCCTTCGGGCACGTTCCGGGCTGTTCTAGCAGAACGCTAGCGGTGGGGCATTCATTGTCAATTCTATCCAACCCAAGTCTCCCTGGACCTGTTTGTGATGATGATGCTATGCAGCGTACTCGGATAAATTCCTTTTTCTTCGCTTATTTTGCACCATTGTGGAAGATGCGTCTCACAGAAGCCAAGGTTTTCATCTCAAATTTTCACTTCATTCTCTCCGCACACCGATTCCATATTTTTCGATGCCTCCTTTGAGGCTTTCCTGTCCCGGTGCCGACTGCTATTTTGTCAGGCTAGTGCAAACTGTGCGCCGCGAAATATTGTAAAAGCTTCAATTTGAAAAAATGTGCGGTGATTTGCAGGCTCATTAACTATTCAATATTAATTTAATGTTATTAAAGTTAAAAAAAGTAATGAAAAAACACAAGTTTTATTCATTTTTATATCCTACTTACGAATAGTCATACTTAGGGTAGAGCGCCATGGAAAAATTTTAATTGAAAAAGGGCGCCGCGATTAGGAAAAGTTTGGGAACAGCTGGGGTAGACTAAGGCTCTGACGCACTGTCAGCTAAACTTACGAATTGCCTATCCTCGCAGGCAATTCCTAAAAGGCAGGCTCATCAGCGCCAGATTGTGCCCTTATTTGAGTTCACATGCCAAATGGGCCACACCAATCGAGCCGCCTGATCGTTATTATCTAGCAGCAGCACATTAGCAGAGCATACTGAGCTAGACCATGCCAGATCGATATTTTCGACTGGACCGAGGGACCACTTCTGCACCAATGGGAGTGTGGCTACTGTTCATTGGTGAAAACCAGGTGAACCAATCGAAGTGCTGAATGTCGCGCCCACGCTTTACAAAACCTTCTTTCCTCTGTCTTTTTGCCTTTTGTTCAATTTGCCCGCAGCTGGCCTCGCGCGTTTTTACTGCTCTCGGACTTAGTCATGGCATGATTGGAGTTCGGTTACTCATCGACATTTTCTGTTTCGCGCTCTCCCCTCATGATTGACCTGGTACTACCGGATCCGCTGGCATACGGGCCACCATTTTGTCATCGCTCCCCTTTTTGGCAAACTGTCTGACTAGCTAAGCCCAAATTATGTCACAGCTCTAACCAATCTGTCTGATGGTAATGTACAAAATTGCTGGTTGTCGAGTTCGACTTCGCTTCTGACCTTTCATACTCCCGAACAATCTCCCCATCACTTCGACTACCTTCGCCTCCACGTCATCTTACGGCCACGCGGCGGCCGGCTCTAGGGCTTCAGAATGTCTTTTCTGATACGCGTGGTAGGCCCCGTGGCAGAGGAGAAAAAGCCGGAGGACGAGAAAGCCGCCAAAGACAACGATGGGCTGACGGAGCTTTCCATGGAAGAGGTAAATAGCTCCTTATCACTACACTCAACATACTCTTACTGCGTGTTATTGTGGTTTTCAATTAGTCTAGCAATTCCTGAACAATCATATACCTTATTCTTATGTGATTTGCTTTCGACACTATCAGCAAGTATTGTATAAGAATCTGGTCAGCCTAGGCCTTTTAGCGTGAGTTAAGTCTGATTTAAGCTGATGATTAAGTCTCTCTACAATGCAATGAGTAGGTCTCAGTATGCCATTTAATTTCATCTAATTCACGTAGTGGGATTGCCAATTAACCAAAGTGTTTGTCTGTAATAAACGACACTACTTACTTGTGAAGTGAGTAGCTTTCGATGATGTTCGGGGGGAAACTCGACTACCAGTCGCTAAATCATCGTAAGCAGCATAAGTTGACTAAGTTCCTATTCAAGAATCACTGATAGTCTCGAAAGTTGGCTAGGTCTCGATGAATCTATCGAGGTAACTTTGTTGTGGAGGCTTTTATTTCATAGAAAAGGGCCCGACGAAGAGATTCGTCAGGCAATGCAACTGACTGGCTTTAATACGACGTTTGTGTTGACGCAGTCTACGAGACGTCCTCCCTTGTTTCGGAGGCAGCTGTAATTCATACTTGCCAAAGTCTAAAGTCTTCCGATAAGATCAACCAACTAATCTCTTCATCATGCACTTTCATACGAAATGATAGTCTTCTCGGCAATGAGTTGAGAGGCCTGGCTGAGTGAAATTAAGCGGCAGCGTGAGGCCTACTCATGTCATTGTAATAAGACTCAACTGTCAGCCACTTACCCACTTTAGGCGTCATGGGTCGATTAATTTCTCAATTGCATACCCCCCAGGCTGTTCCTATTCTATCGGATAAAGTATTCATATTCTATTTAATTCAACTTAAGTCTTCTTAAGTCTCTTTTTATGGGGATGAGGGTACGCAATGTGCTCCGATATG